GAAAAGCTTGATTTCTTGTCATCGGGCTTAAGGAAATATCGTAAACATTGGTTTTCTGCTCTGAAGATGTCTACCATATCACAGACGAAAGCTCAGCACGGATTTATCGGAATCACAGGACAGTGAGCCGAGGAAGTATTCGAATAAATATTCAATGATTAATTCAAGTCAATCTTCCTTTGGATTCAAGAGGCCAATCTGCGAATCTCTTCCACTCCCTTCTTCAAACGCAAGGAGTAGTAGCTAAGCCTTAGGAAAACGGATATTTGGTTGTGGTTGGATCAATTCTAGAAATGGAAGGCATTTAATGATATCACTGAAGCAGCTAACTAAATACTGGGATGCCTCATTAAGATTGCGAGATTAGATTATGTGAAGTAGCTGGCCACCATTAAAGACCTATTATTTGGCAAAGTTCTTTAAAAAATGGTTTCTTGCTCAAACGAAGACCTCACTAAATGATAGCGATTTAATTGGGATTCTTTTGTTTTCTGGGAGGCAAATTCGTATACCTCTATCCTCCAACATTTCAGATAACACGAAAGTACAAATGATAGGAAATCATTTAATAGCTCTTCTAAACCCAGCTTTTCTTCCGTAATTCGTAGTGGCTCATTTAAGCCTGGATCGAAAAGTTATGATTGCAAATTTTACTGGAGGTGTTGTTGCCATCTAAATTGGGGAAAAATGAATGTTCACCCCTGATAAAGAAAACAGTTAATCGACACAAGAAATAGAGGAATGAAGTTTTCTTCACTGATCTATTACGCGCTAACAACCATGTGATAGGATTTATCAATATTTTCGGCAGTCAAATTCCAAAGTGTAATAATTCAAGTCTATCTATAAATAGATGAAATCTGAGACTGTTTCGATTAAAAGGAATAGCTTTTCCATATCCCATATAAAAATTCCATTATATGCTTTGCATAGAGTTTGCTGCAAGCTTTAATTCCTTGGATTTGCCCTTTCTAATGAAAATATTACCTTAAAATGTATTTGAAAAAATCTAAGCTTGTCTACTTTTTAAAAATTATACACCGACCCTTACGTAACAGTCTTTTCATGTTTTTCACTGTTCAGATTCAGGCCACTGACAAGGACGCCGGTCAAAATGGTAGTCTGGAGTTTCTTCTAGCCGGTGGCAACGAACAGAAGCTGTTTGATCTTAATCGCGTAACAGGTGGGCTCAGCTTCACTGGAGCAGTGACCAGCTATGCCATAGGCCGACATGTACTTGTCGTTGAAGCTCGTGACCGAGGCCAACCGCCTCTGGTTGCGCAGGCTCGTCTCCAGGTCGAGGTGGATGCTTCGGAGCCAATCAGCCCAAAGCTTTTGGAAGCAAGCAAGTTAACCAAAGCCTCCTACACCGAATTCGGTTGGTCGCCATATGATGGAGCCGACAGTGGCGTCGGCGGGTCTGCGAGTGGCAGGTCTGGCGGAGACTCGTCCGGCCGAGCAGTCAATCTCTACATCATCATTGCAATAGTTGTCGCCTCATTTGTCATATCTACCGTTCTTCTTACCTCCATCTGTCTTGTGTTGCGTCGGGCCCGTCGAGACGGTCAATATCGCCAAGTTATGAGGAGACAACCGGCATACATTTCAGCCTCAATCACTGGAGATGACGTCAATGTCATCCCGGACCAATTGATGCCAACGGATGGGGGCCGAGTAAGGCCAGATGGATCTTGCATTGAAGATCGACTAGCAGGAGGTTGCTGTTCAGTCAAACCGAGATTTATTTACGAGTCTACAGGCCAGATACCCTTCATACTGGACAGATCAACCTCTTCACGTAAGTCGAGAAAAGAGTACAATTAACTAATAAATTTTCTTCCATTAATATAGGGGACTTTTGGTCTTTATTTTCGCTTTTATTTAACCTAGTAGATAATACTGAGTTGGGGAACGGAAATTGCCGCTCTACATGGCTCCAGTTGGGCTACTTTATCTAATGAGGCGTTCGATAGAGGACGTGTTTCATCCACTTCTGCCAAAGGGAAGAGCGCTAATACAGTTTTTCGTTTGGTAAAATCGTTATATGCTTCTTCTGTAAAATATAAAAAGTCTAAAGAATCAATTAGCTTTAGTTAAGGATATTAGCTAAATAGTCCTCTTAGTAGATTAGGATTTCGAGACTACCAGTAAATCAGTGTAATGAGATGTATTCACCCTATTTCGTGTAAGGTGA